TTCATTACATATTCAATTTCACTGGCTGATATTTGTTTATTTTGAATTTCTGTATCTTCTTAAGTTTTGTTAATTCATATGTATCTGGTAATATGTCCATTTCTTCTGTGTTTTCCATCTTTTTAGAAGACAGCCTCTGGAAGTAGATACTAACAATCTTCTGGATCTAGGCAGGATCTGTTGTGATGTCATCCTTTTCATTCCTAAGTGCATGGATTTGTCTTTTCCTTCCTTTTTTGATAAGGTTAGCTAAGGGTTTTGTCGATTTTATTTGATGTTTCAAAGAACCAACTGGATTCACTGATTCTTTGTATTGTTTTATTAGTCTCAATTAACTTAATTTCTGATTCTTATAATTTCCTCCCTCATATGAGCTTTGGGCTTGACTTGCTATTCTTTTTCTAGCTTAGGGTTCCACATTAGGTAGTTTGAGTCTACTCTGTTTTCCTGATACGGGAATTCAGCACTATATATTTCCCTCATAGGACTGCTTTTATCTCATCCCATAAGTTCTGGTACATTGCACTGTCATTATTAATTTCATCTGTGACCTACTGGTTGTTCAAGAGGGTGTTATTTAATTTCTATATGTTTATGTAAAGTTCTTGTGGTTTCTTTTGCCACTGATTTCCAATATCATTGCACTATGATCTGACAGTATGTATGGGATTATTTCAATTCCTTTGCATTTACTTAAGCATTTCTATGAGGTAGTAAGTATATGGTCTATTTTGGAGAAAGTCCCATGAGCAGATGAGAAGAATGTGTATTCTGATGTTGTGGGGTAGAACAGTCTGTAGACATTCAATAAGTCCATTTGTTCAAAAGTTTGGTTCAAGGGCTGGGATGCAGCTCAGTGGTACTGTGCTTGCTTGGCAAGTGCAAGTTCCTGAACTTGATCCCCAGGACCAAAAAAAAAAAAAGTTTGGTTCCATTCTACTATTTCATTGTTGATTTTTTGTATAGTTGATCTGTCTATACGTGACAGTGGGGTATTGAGGTCCCCCATTACAACTGTATTAGTGCTTATATGATTTTTCATGTCCATTAATATTTGTTTTGTATAGTTGGGTGTGCAGCTATTTGGTGCAATACATATTTAGGATTGTTATTGCTTCCTCTTCGACTGTTCCCTTTACCAGGATGTAATGACATTCTTTGTCTCTCTTAATCAGTCTTGGCTTGAAATACACTTTGTCTACAAATAGAGTAGCTACCTCTGCTTTTTTTCTGTGTCCTGACTCATGGAATATTGTTTTCCATACCATGACTTTCAGTCTGTGAATTTGTTTTTCAATTAATGTGCTTCTTCTATGCAGCATATCGTTGGATCTTTCTTCTTGATCCATTCTGCCAGTCTGATTCTTTCTTTCTTTCCTTCCTTCCTTCCTTCCTTCCTTCCTTCCTTCCTTCCTTCCTTTCTTTCTTTCTTTTTTTTTTTTTGTTTTGTTTTTTTGAGACAGTCTCACTATGTAGTTGAAACTGACCTGGAACTCACTATGTATCCCAGGCTGGTCTCGAACTCAGGGCGATCCTCCTGCCTCAGCCTCCCAAGTGCTGGGATTACAGGCATGCACCACCATGCCCAGCTTGCCAGTCTGTTTCTTTTGATTGGTGAATCAAGACCATTAACACTGATAGTTACAGCTGACATACATTGTCTTATTTATGTCATCTTATTTTCCTGATGTTGGCTTCCTTCTTCCCTTTTCTGTTTAATTTCTTGCCTTGCCTGGTAGATTCATTCTTTTGGGGTTCATGGAATTGTAATCCTTATTGTGTCTTTCTAGAATACATTTGGTGGTCATGAATTTCTTCAGGTGCTCTTTGTCATGGAAGTATCTCATTTCTCCATCAATTCTGAAGGACAGTTTTGCAGGGTACATCAATCTGAGTTAGAGGTTATTTTCCTTTACAGCTTGAAATACTTCACTCCAAGCTCTCTCTGACTTGAGAATTTGTGTTCAGACGTCTGCTGTGATTCTTGATGGGCTCTCCATTATAGGTGATTTGTTTCTTTTCTCCAACAGCTTTTAATATTCTGCCAGAAAGGCTTTTCTTTTGAAAGAAAAGAAAAAATAACAGGTGCACACAGTAGCACATACTTATAATCCCAACTACTTGGGAGATTGAGGCAGGAAGATTTCAAGTTCAAAGCCAGCCTGAGCAACTTGATGAGATCCTGTCTCAAAAATTAAAAAGATTAATGGGGAAAAAAAAATTAAAAAGAGTTAGGGGTGAAGCTTAGTGATACAGCATCCCTGAGTTTGTTGCAAAAAAAAAAAGAGAGCGATAATAATGTGTCTCAGTCCAGGAAGACCCACATCTAATTTCAGAAAGAATAAGCACGGAAAAGAAAGAACTTATCAAAAAAAAAATTGGAAAATGCACAGAATTGAAAGGTATGTTCCCAAATTCAAAAGCTACCAAGACCCAGGTTGAAGATTAGAGCACCAGGTCATGTGACTTACCCATATCCAGACTGGATCCTAAACAACAGGGCACAGAGAACACACTCCAGAGAAAAAATGATTTCCATCCCAAAATACTACACCAAACTGAGCATAAGGAAGAAATGAAGACATTCTGAGGAATGCAGAAATCTCGACTTACTGCCCATTCATTACTTCTCAGGAAGCTACCAGAAACTGTGCTCCATAAGACAAAAGACATGGCCTCCAGGACCCAGGCATCCCACAGGGAGTGACAAACAGAGTCCCAGGAAGACAGCAGAGGCTAGCCCTGGGGACCAACCAGGCAACAGACCCAAGGACAGCTCAGCCACACAGGCAGAGCTGAGGGATTCTGGGCAGAGGACTCTGCCAAGCGGAGGCTCCACTAAACCACTGTCTGCCACATGGATGACTGCATCAGACGCAGCATACAGAGCTGCTAGATAGGATAAGGACGTGACAGCCAGGGAGTGTCAGTAAGTGTGTGAGAGGCAATTATTAACTCTAGGAAAACGGACAGTTGTACAAAGGGATATACTCCTGTATAAACAGCATGACTGTTTATTTGCATGGAATAATGTTACATGAGCAGGGATGGTGGGTGGCGCACAACCGGAATTCTAGCAATTCTAGAAGCTGCAGTGGGAGTAGCGCACAATGGATGGTGATATAGCTACAGTGAAAAGATAGGAGGTTAAAGCTAAATCTATCTCTTCCACTGTAAAATGTCTAAAATACAGAAATCAAAAAATACAAGTCCAGGCATGTTACTTATAAATGTGAACCATTAAGAGCTGTGTCTGCCCATGAGACAATGATTAGGAGAAGAGGAAAAGGGCTACTATCTTTGTTTATAGTGCTTTTAGTACTCCTGAATTTCACTGATAATAAATTTGAATAAACATAAAAGGACACAGAAGCAGAAAAATAAACTTTTTCAAATGCCAAAAGTTCTGGAAATAATTAGCAGCTACTCTATGCAAAAAAGAATAATCAGAACTATAACTACTAAAAAACAATCTACTCTAAGAGGCTGATACAGGAGAATTGAAAGTTCAAGCCTAACCTGGACAACTTAGGAACTTAGGAAGACCTTGGTCTTAAAATTTTAAAAAGGGCTGGGTATACAGCTCACTGCAGAGCCCAAGTTCAATCCCCAGTACCACAAAAAAAGGGAAAAAAGGGGCTGGGGACATAACTCAGCGGAACAGCACCTGCCTGGCAAGCATGAGGTCCTGAGTTCAATCCCTGGTACCAAAAAAAAAAAACTCACTATTTTTCACCACATGCAGTGACACATGCCCATAACTTTAGCTGATCATGAGGCTGAGATAGAAGGTTCACAAGTTCAAGGCTGGTCTGAGCAACTTAGGGAGACTGTCTCAAAAAGGGCTGTGGTGTGGCTTAGTTGTAGAGCACCCCTAGATTTGATCCCAAGGACTGAAAGAAAAAAATTCCTACCTACCATCTGTCTGGTCCCAGTCCCTGAAAGGCAGAGGTGTCACAGAGGCACCTGCTCGCAACAGTCCTACCGTGAAGCAGGCACAGCTCTTTTGTCCAGCAAGCCCAGGGACACCACCCCACTTCAGAGGGTAGAGTGAATCTAAGAGCGGCAGTGACCCCACTCACCAAGCATGAGACTTTAGTTACCACAGTAAAGTTTTTTAGAGTCATGATCTCCCCATCCCAAGCCTCATGAAATTGGGTTTTAATATTACCTTAAGTGCTCACTTCGGCAGCACATATACTAAAATTAATATCACCTCAATATTAAGGAGAAAACTTTGCAGGTCAGAGGAAAAAAAAGTGAGGGGCTAAATAGGTTACCCAAGGTGATACAGCTAGGAACAGCCCATGTGAGCTGCCTTATTTATTTGGAAGAGCCCTCTATGGAAACCCTTATGTCCCATCTTAAGAACAGGAAGGAAACAAGCTAAGAGCTGCTGGGCAACTGGCCTAAAGGGAAAGAGCTAGCAAAGAGAACAGGCTTCCAGTCCATATTCACCTAGCTCCAGAAGGAGGGCTATCACCATTGCACTCTCAGGAACCTAGGCCAGAGCCACAAAACACAAAGAATCCAAGAATTCTGAAAGCTGCAGCCTTGGTGACAGAGTTGCAATTTCTGGACATCTTTTTAAAAACCCTAAAGCAACCTTGCAGGTGGCCTGTTGAGATGCAACTGAACTGCTGCACGGCCATGGTACTACAGGGTATTCATACCCACACAGCCCCGAGAGCTCTCCTACTAGCTTCTCTCCTCAGCTAGGTTAAGGGCCAGTCCCAAACACCAAAGACAATCTGCTGTAGAAAATGCTGTCTGAATCTGACTCTCTAAACCACCTCCCTATTAAACTGTTCCCTGGTGACAGGAAGGCAGAAGTGGATAGAAACTGCCTCAAAGTGACACAGATGATACGGGACTAAATTAAGAAGCACAATACAACGCAAAAAGTACTCTCTCAAGTGACTGTGTCACCAGAAGGCTGAGCCCACAAGATTTGTTCACAGCATTAGTCACGTGGCTCTCGTCAGAGGCAACAATCATACCTTAATTTCATTGTCATTTGCAAAATTGCCGAAAGAAGCCATAATTTTGGGAATAGCTGCAGCCAAGGTCTCCTGGACGGATTCCTCAGGTCTCTTGCACGTTCGAGTCAAGCATGGCAGAAGATTCACCAGGTAAGGCCTGCATGCAAAAGAACACTTGTCATTTTGCAGATTCTCTAGCTCCATAGGGGAAAGCCAGGTATATAAGCACAATGGCCCTTCAAGCTGACAGTGGTCAGCCAGAAGATCAGGAGGACTAGACACAGATGAAGGCAACTGGCCTCCATCGCTCCAGTCACAGAGGGCTCTTAAACTGGGCTCAAGTTATTTGCAGTAAATTATTAGTATCAAAAGTCTCTCATTTTTAATTGGAAACCATAGGTAATATGAGAAAACAGTACTTTAAAAAAATAATTTAAAGTAAATATAACTTTCCTTTGAAAAGAGAAAACTAGAAAAAATGTTCAAACTAATCCAGGCCTTCAAGCTGCAACCTGGACCTCTAGTGAGGAAACAGACACGTAAGGAAGAAGCAATGAGTGATCCCTGGCCTGGTAGGTGCAGCTCTGTCCTGGGTGATCAAGACAGGCAGCACTCAAGGCCACTGAGAGCACAGATGACTTCACGATACAAAGCCTGGGGTAGCTGGGAATATGTTAGAAACAGGACAGAGGCCTCTCAAAGGAGGGGATTCTTCTGCGAGGCCTGAGGGGAAATAGGAACCAGCCATCAGGAAGAAGGGAAACCTGACTTATTTGAGTCAATACACTGTGTCTGCAGTGACAAGGAGAGTAAAAGGAAAGGGTTTATAAAAAGAAATTTCCTTAGTGATTGTACCCTATACCCAGACAAGATGCTTATTCAAACTCCTCAGTGTAATACATCACAGCTACACGTTAACACTGAGGGTTTGGGCCCCTCTACTTACTTGTTTCTAAAGGAGAGAGCTGAGGATCTCCAGGACATGGGCACATTGTGCCAGTTTGAGAAAAGGACGGAACTGATGAAAACTACAGTCCTGCATTATTTTTTTAATCCACTACAAACAGTTTCAACTAGTCAAAACTTTATGCACAATTCAACGTTCATATTTTCAACCAGTGTAATAGACAATGTCTGTTTTTCTGTAACTCCTAGAACTGGTGGTGATAAGGCTGCTGATTAGTTGGGTCTGCAGCAGAGAACAAGACAGCAAGGCCCCTGATACTCTGAGCTCCACATCCATTAGTCTCCCAGGGGAGGTTGGGACAGAAAGCAAATAAGCACACGAATGAAGTACATGAGAATACTCCCAATAGGGCTGGTACTAGGAAGGAAATATAAGCCGGCAGAGGCAGCTGCAGTTAGGCAGCAGGATGGGAAGATGTGAAGAAGGGACAGGAACTGAGATGGAAAGGATCACCAGGAGGGGCCACTCACCAAAAATAATGATAAAATGGCCCCAAGGGACAACTTACCTGCACTTCTGAGGCCGAACCAGGTGAGCCAGTTCAGCAAACCTCCACAGGGCGGCCCGCAAGCTCCGAGGGGCGCCATTCTGAGAGGGTTTAATCAGCAAAGTGTCACATTAAGAACAAATGTGATTAAGAAAAAAAAAGAGCAAATGTGACTGTCATCAAAAGGTTGCAGGGAAACAAAACATTCTCTTACTGTTATTTTTGGTTCTTAGAGAAAAAGCTAGTTAAATGTATGAAACATCTGGGAACTACCTCAGAGATTTTTAAGGTCCAGTGGGCTTCAATTATACAGTTATAAAAAAAATTAAGTTGCCATTTTTAACTTCCATCTCATCTAAGGAAAAAACCTCGAAGCAAAGTAAAACAACAAAGTCTTCGTTACAAAACCACTTCCTTCTCACACATAGTTTTACTGTTTAACTAAAAGATAGCTTCCCATACACAGCTCATTACAATGCAATGGAAAGTAAAGGCCTACCTTCTTAATTTCCTTGTAAAGTTCTAACTGGAGCCTTGGAAGGTTGGAATCCATCAAAGCCTACAGAGAAGAAAGAATTAAAAGCATTATATGAAGGCCAGGGATTTAGCTCAGTGGTTCTGCCACCTGCCTTGAAGTGCAAGGACCCAAGTTCAATCCCTGGTACCAAAAAAAAAAAAAAAAAAAAAAAAAGGCATCATACCACAGTGATATATGCACACCCATGTTTATAGCAGCACAGTTTATAACAGCTACATCTTTTTTTTTTTTTTTTGAGACAGAGTCTCACTGTGTAGTTCAGACTGCCGTGGAACTCACTATGTAACCCAGACTGGTCTCAAACTCACAGCAATCCTCCTGCCTCAGCCTCCCGAGTGCTGGGATTACAGGCATGTGCCACCACGCCCGGCCAACAACTACATCTTTGAAACAGCCAAAATACCCATTAACTGATGAATGGATAAAGATGTGGATTTTTTTAATACAATGGAGTATGACTCCGCCATAAAGAAGGACAAGCTTGAGACATTTGTAGCTAAATGGATGCATACTATTAAGCAAAATAAATCGGACACACGTTTCATGCTTAAATACTGAATTATTTCTCTGGTGTGAGAAACCAAAAGTGTAAATAAGGACCAAAAGTGTATAACAGATATTGGGAAATAGGAAGAAAATTTTCAAATGGGAAGGGGAACAAGGGAGGGGGGAGGGTAAAGGAAAGAAGGGACAGAAAAAAGAATACAAGAAAAAAATGGAAATAAAATTTTTATTTATTCAAAGGGGAAGAGAAGTTGAAAAGAAAGGAAGGGAATGGGAAAAAAAGCAGCATGACATTTTATGTACAGGTTCCCTGTGATGCAAGTTATCACTATGTATATCTAAATTATATCAATAAAATTTTTAAAACACACACAAAAAAGGAAATTTAGAGCCGGGTGTGGTGGCGCACACCTGCAATCCCAACACTCGGGAGGCTGAGGCAAGAGGATCACTGTGAGTTCGAGATCGACCTGGGCTACAGAGTAAGTTCCAGGTCAGTCTCAACTACATAGTGAGACCCTGTCTCAAAAAAACCAAAAAAAAAAAAAAAAAAAAAAAAAAAAAAAAAAAAATAAAAAA